TTAAGGTGTGTTCATACAAGGTGATTTATAGGGTTGCAAATTGTATGTTTTTATCGCATTACATCACCCTCCTTTGGAAAAAGAAGAATTTGGCAACGTGATCAATTTTGCCATATTCTTCTTGCCCAAAATTTATAATCAGAATTAAATTGTTTTGAAGGAACGAATTTAAGAAATGCTTAAGGGATATTCCTCCCTCTTTCATTCGTTCGTTCAAATCAATTTAAGTTTTGGTAAATATTAGATATTTAAATAAAAGCTATTGTATTTATTTAATTATTACTTATTTTATTTATTAAAAGCTATTTAATTGGCAAAGTATCGTATTTGTGAAATAAAATTGAGTAATTATTTTCGTAAATAACTTATGAGGCTATTTTATTGAATTTTACATAAATACATATTAATTGCTTAAGAAAAATGGAATTTAAATTTTTTTTTTGTTTTAATATTTGTATTTAGATTTTCTGAGTTATATTTTTAACAATGTATGAAAAATGCTTTCGATTTAATAAATTCATTTAGTATTTTGGAAAAAAAATCTTATATTATAATTTTGTGGAAAAATATATTGTAAACACTTATAATAGTTAGTTTTGTTTGTTTGTTTTTTCTTTTGAGCTAGATTTCATACTGAACATTTGTACATTTCAGATTATTATTTTTTTGTTTTGTACATTTTTGTTTTTGTTTATAAGGTAATAAAGTGAAAGTAATTATACATACGTATATACATATAGAAGAAAAATTTTTATTTTTTTTTTATTATTTTATTTTATGAATTCTATTTTTGTGTACTGTTTTTTCTTTGTTTTTCGCTTCATCAAAAATTGTGACGTTTACACCGTCAATTTTTGTTATAACGTATGGCCCTTGGTATATGTTTTCATGCTTATTGCGTGGTTCTTTTTGAACAAGAACCCTGTCGTTAACGCTAATTGATAACGGACGCGCCGTTTTATCATATATTAGTTTGTTTCGAATTTTGTGTTTATTAATTAATTCTTTAACGATTTTGTGCGAATTTTGCATGCGATATTTAACTTCTTTCGCATAATTTTCTACATTATAAATCGGGTCAATTTTATCTTTTTTCAAATCTTGAGGCACTGTTGCCTTTTTCCCAAATATTAATTCAAATGGGGAAAATTTATTATCGAAAACTGTGTTAGTTGTTGTGTTGTGTAAAAATGTAAAATATTTTAAATAAACATCCCAGTCGGAAAATGTTTCATGTAAATATGCTCGTAAATATTCATTAAAAACTCTGTGGTTACGTTCGATAGTACCCACGGTTTCATGATGGTGTGCGGTTGAAAAATCGTGTTTAACCTTTAAAAGTTTGGTTAATTCAGTGAAAATTTCATTTTTAAATTCGGTGTCTAAGTCTGATTTAATGGAATTCATTACACCGTAAGTTAAGACAAACCTTTCGAAAATGGCAGATGCAATCGTTTTAGCGCTTTTATCTGGAACAGCTACTGTTACTAAATACTTTGTTAAATCGCATATAATGGTAATTGCGAACCTATTACCACTACTCGACTCTGGTAGGGGTCCTAATGTGTCGATTACAATAATATCAAATGGTTTGCAAGGTGTTGGCGTTAAAACAAGATTTTCCTTGTTTTTAGGTTTAACCTTGTTTAATAAACATTTTGAACAATTTTTAACAAACCTGGATACATCACGGGTCATATTTTTCCAGTGATATTTTGTACGTAATTTTGCATAAAGTTTTTTAATTCCACAGTGTCCGCCTGTTATAGGGTCATTATGGTAAATGGTCATTAATTTTAACTTTTTATCGTCGTCAGTTACTGTTTCTACCGGTTCTGTTAAGATAATTTGTAAAAATTTTTAAATATTGTTACCGCTGGTTTTTAAATTTGAAATAGAGAAATAATTGAAAAATATATCATCTTTTGGCCATTCTACTTGCTTAATATTGCGATTGCCGGCTTCAGCATCAAGCCTCAAAAGTAACTCGTCTAAACAAGTTGTTTCGTTAACATTCGCAAAATTAAGTAATTCGTGTTTTTTGTGTTTTAAATGTGCACATATTTGAATATTTGAAATTTTGTTATCTTTATCGTAGCGAAAATGCGTTACTATTCGCGGTATATTTTTAGAAAAATTATCGTAAACTTGTACTGTAGGGTTGTCCGTGTAGTTGTTTTCGTTTTGTAATTCTATTGTTTTTGTCATTGATCGCGTTTTCATAGCTAAAACATGTTTTGTAGAGTCTTTTAGTTCATTAATGGTAATGCGTGAAAGTGCGTCTGCTCCCACGTTTGATTTGCCTTTTAAGTACTCCATAGTGAAGTCGTATTCTGACAGTTCTAGGCGTATTCTAGCAAGTTTTGAAGATGGGTCCTTCATGTTAAAAAGATAAACTAAGGGTCGATGGTCAGACTTCACCTTAAAGTGAGTGCCGTAAACATAGGGTCGAAACTGCTTAATCGAGAAATATATAGCTAAAAGTTCAAGTTCTATGATTGGTTTATTTTGTTCTGCTTTGTTAAAAGATTTAGAAGCGAAACATATTGGTAAGTCGTTGCCATTATGATTTTGGCTTAATATAGCACCGCACCCGTTTTTAGAAGCATCCACAGTTATTAAAAATTCTTTAGTAAAATCAGGATATTGCAAAAGTTTAGGAGACATTAGGGCTGATTTTAAGTGTTGAAATGCAGTTTCACAAGCGTTGTCCCATAAGAATTCTATATTTTTTCGACTCAGTCTATTTAAAGGTGCTGCCAGCGACGCAAAGTTAGGTATGAAGCGTCTATAATAATTTGCAAACGCAACGAATCGACGAACAGCGTCTTTATCTGAAGGTTTTGTATACTTTTTTATTGCGTTAATTTTTGAATCGTCTGGCAGCAGTCCCTTTTCTGAGCACTTGTGCCCTAAAAATGTTACCTCAGAACGAAGAAAATTGCATTTTGTGGGGTTTAGCTTGAGATTAAACTTTCTGCAAGTTTCGAACACTTTAGCTAGATTTTTTAAATGGTGAGTCTCACTACAACCTATAACTATGACGTCATCAACGTATAAAAAAGCTTGATTTGGAGAAATGCCTGAAAAGGCTATTGACATCATTCGAGAAAAAGAATTCGGTGCTACATTTAAACCGAATGGTAAAACTTTCCAGCGAAAAGCTCCCTTGTCAGTACTGAAAGATGTTATATCTCGCGAGTTTTTATGCAATGGAATTTGATGGAAACCAGAAAACAGATCTAAAGTCGAAAAGTATTTTGCTCGACCAAGGTTGTCTAATATGTCGTCCACACGTGCTAGTGGAAATTTGTCAGCGATAAGCTTTTTATTAACCGCCCTAAAGTCAACGCACATGCGGTACGATTTTTGGCCGGATGGATCTTTTTTTGGTACTAAAATTAATGGACTGTTATAATTAGAGGAGCTTGGTTCGATTAAGTCATTTCGCAGTAAAGTATCGACTTGTCTATTTATTTCTTCGCGTTGTGAGTACGGCAATCGATAGTTTTTGATATAAACGGGAGTCTTGTCATTCAGTCGAAGTTTCTGTTCGTAAAAGTTGTTGAGTGTCATACGGTCTGTTTTTAAGGCAAATACATCGGCATATTGTAAACATAATTCAAGCAATTTGTTTTTAGCATATTTTGGCATTTGTTTTTGTAAAATTGACTTTAGTTCCTCTAAACGTTTTGTCTCTTGGGAAGTTTCGTTTATTTTGTAGACATTATAGTTACTTATATCCTCAGCTTTGATGTTATAGTTACGAACGTATTTTACCTCGTCCGTAGTATTTATTACTTTTAAAATTGGATTTGTTGTGTCAACGACACATTTTGATGTAAAAACACCAGAGCAAAGCTCGTGAGAGTCTACGAAAACAGGGTTTTTGGAATTAGTCAATTTAAATAAACGAAAAACTTCACATCTTGGAGGAATGACTAAGGTGTCGGTATTTGAACCGTGTACAATTGCTATTTTAGTGCTTTCTGTCCCGATGCCGATAGTTATACTGTCATTTGCGTAGTTAATAATACATCTGTTCGTCTTTAAAAAGTCCTTGCCTAGTATGCCGTCAGAAGGTATATTAAAACTGTCATCTACAACGTGAAGAGTATGCGGAATAAAAAGACCTGATACAACCAAGTTTGTACTTACAGTTCCCAATGTTGTAACCGTTTCAGTTGTTACACCAGTGATGTTTATGGTATTGCTACTGTTAATTGCTGAATTTCTTGCTAAACTGGAAATCTTGATTAAAGAGATGTCTGCTTGTGAATCTACGAGAAACGAGCATAATTTGTAAGAATCGGTACAATTTAATTCAATAAAATCTGAATAATTAAGGTTCAAGCAGTAAATTGATTTTTCAGGGGTAACTACGTTTAATTGCTTAGCTCCTGCTCCCCCAGTGTTCGCTCCTGAGGGGCATCGGCGTTTAAAAATCGAACATTAGAAGTGTTTCTAGAATTTGAACGAGAAGAGTTGTTTCTGTTGCTTGCCGAACGATTGCTTGTGCTATTTCTGTAATTATTTTGTCTATTGTTAAAATTGTTACTTCTATTGTAATTATTTTGATTATTATTGTGCCTTGTGTTATTGCCATTATTGTGCCTATTTGTATTGCCGTTATTAAATCTGAAACTAGTGTTGTGATAGCCATAGTTGTTATGCCCTCTAAAACCTCCTCGAAAACTATTTGGTCTATTTGCCCGTGACCTAAAAGATAACACCTGCCGCTCTTTGACTTCATTATTGTGTTCTACAATCATTTTTGCGACTACATCTTTCGAATCCGTAAAAGTGGTTGATGCTAAAATAGATTTTACTAGTTCTGAACGACTGTTCAGTCTGCAAACATTTACTGTCTGCTCTACCGCTAACTCATGGGCTTTTGCTTGAGTCATACCCTCAATAATTAAAGATCGCTCTAATGCGTCAGATAAATCCTCTACTCGCTTCGCAAAATCGGCATAGTTGTTATTAGTAATATGTAATGACGCGATTTTGCCAGAGACAACTTTGGAATTATCTGGTTTGATTCTGCTGCGTAGCGCAACCTTTATTTGATCCACTGAAATTATTTGACTGGGTAAAACCTCACGCGCTTTGCCTTCGAGTTTAGACTTTAAAAATGCTATAAATGTTGTAGTTAAACTTTCATCCGATAATTCTTCAATTAAGTTTATTTTGTCAATGAATGAGTCGAGCGATAGGGGGTCACCACTATAGTTTTCTCGGATTATAGACGCACATAGGCTAATAAATGATTTCTTTTGCTCAGGTGTTGCCATCTTTATTTCGTTTGTA